CTGTTACTTGTTTCCTTGTACTTGTTGACAAATAAATATAGATAGATAAATGAGTGGCATATAAATCTAATAAATAAACAAATAATAAAAATAAATAAATTAACTCTAAATATACCTTGTGATTAGTCTCCAAGCATAAACATAATATTTGGCCCATTCTGCCCTTATTGTTTTATTGTATTTATTGTATTATCTATTATTGTATAATTGCCAAATTGTGCAATAATAACTCCATTTGAGTAAGCCTGCTTTTATTTATTTATTTATATATATATACACACATATATATATACAGTATGTATGTATGTATATATGTGTGTGTGTGTGTATGTATATACATACATACATACATACATACATACATACATACATACATGAACTTTAGCTTATGTCAAACGTTTTGCAGTAACCTTAATCAAAGCCTGACTTGAACTGGACTTAAACTGGTTTTCAGGGGGCATGTTTACATTGTATGCATGTGCACGGGACTTTTCAAGAGCATATGTGACAATGAATGTCCACATGCCCTTGGCATAACATTGCTGAGCTATGCATGCTCAATTGTATGTTAATGTGCCAATGAATAATGTATCCAGTGACTGTATAAATGGATGCTGTTAAGATGAGAGTCTTGCATTTTGCCACTGAACCTTGGTAACTCCGCACTCTCCCTTGAGGGTCAAGCAAGAGAATCTGCTGCAGCCAAATCTCTCTGTCACCTTATTGGGCAATGGACAAAATCTGAAATAACATTTGACCAATTATAATTTGGGGGAGGCACTGAGGAACTTGTACCATGGCCTGCAAGGGTTGTGTGTGGCTCTTTACTATGATTATGAAATGATCTCATAAATTCATTTCAAAGGGCATCCTCAAACAAGGGTGTTATTGTTGGTGTAATTTAAAATAATTGGTTTGATTGGTGATCTCTAAAACAAACTGGATCCTGTTTGAAAGCTGACAATTATAGGTGGGTGGTGCAAGTGAATTGGGGACATGTAAATGAAGACACACCCATACAAATATACATATGTAGTGGATTCAGCTAAAGTCAATCTACCAAAGAATGGAGAAAGTCTCTTAATTGAAGGTTAAGGACTGTCATCTACCATGATGGTCTGGTATGGATTTGTGGATAGATATTTTTCAACTTCCTAGACTAGAACTGATAGTGACTAGCCCAAGGTCACCCAGCTGGTTTCCATGCCTCAGGGAGGATTAGAACTTGGGTCTCCCATTCCTAATTCTTCCCTTTAATCATTACACCACACTGGAACATTCTCTTTCTCCTTCTCCCAGATTTAAGGAGCCAAGACAGAAGCAAGTTTTCCCATAGGAATGATCTTTTATCCTTCCTTTCTTCCTAAACCTGAAGAGAAGATTCATCCTGCTCCTCAGCTCAAGATGAAAAACAACTGTTTGTTTGATAGCTCTACATATCCGTTCATCCCGCCAAGGTACTTCTGAGCATGCCCGGTTGAAATGATTTAACACGCGGCTGATGACTATCAGCAGAAGAACTTCATGGAGAATGGTAGTCTGTCACAGCTAATGGGCTGTTGTTGCACAGGGACTCCGTACGTGCATTACCAGTGGATGGAGAAGGTGCAGAGAGGCCTTGGCAGACATTAGGAATGGAGTGTTGCTGATGATGAAAAGGCACTTTGCTCGTGAGGGAACGGTGGGAGAGAAAGGCCTTATCTGTCTTTTTGATTAGAAATGCATGCTTCCTTTCATCATCTCAGCTGAAAAATTGGCTCCCGCTCTTGGTTTATGAAACCATTTTTCTTTTTCCTTTCTTCTCAGGTTTGCAAACCCTTTAATAAATTAGTCGCTCTGAGGTGCCGAGGTGTCACAGCAACCTCAGAGGCTTTTCCCAAATGTGTCTTTAATATTTTATAAGTATTTTAAATAGATTCATTTGGTTTGAACAATCTGATTTATTCATGCCACTGGTCTGCCCCCCACACGCAAGTAAAATGGAGGGGGGCTGTTTGCTACAAATGGGACTGTGTCACAAATTTCTCTGAATCAGATCTCAATTTAACAATAGATGTTTAAGAAAAAAAGACCATTATCCTCTAGTTGTTGGCATGATGTCACCCTGCAGCAACGAGTTGGGCCAAAAACAATAGGTGGAGAAAATAGATGCTTTCTGGGGAAGACTGGGAGAAGTCTTTTATTTTGAAATCCCTCTTTAAGAAGATGCCAGCATAAAAGTCTGAGGAAGCCATTCACTATTCAGCTTTCTTCTTATCTTGCAGAGCCTGCTAAAACAACTAGCTATGATAATTGAAGGCTTAGCATAAGGTTTTACTTTGGCAAGTGTGTACTCATTGCAATACATGGCAACTCTCTTGATATCATGGATATAATAGAAACACTCAGCACAGAAGGCTGCAAGCGATATTATTGCAAAACAACTGTGTGGAAATTGGAGAATTTGGATTTCTACCTCTGGATTAGCTTTCCAGATATGATTGCCTGCCAGAGGTATGGGACTATAACCTCTATTACCTCCATTCAGTACATGTACTGTGGCTTCATACTATACTTGCTGTGAAGAATGAGGAATTGTAATCTAGCAAAGCTGGAGGAGCTAAGACTGGGCAATGCCAATGTCAGGGCTTTGAAGGAGGCCAGGTAAAAAAACAGGCACCACAAGAAGTACTAGAAATATCCCATCTCCACCTCACTTGCTTATTGGTTCCTATTTTAGCTACGTTTTGTTAATTTTAATGTTAATGTTTAATGTTATCATTTTAATAGCAATAGCAATGGCAATGGCAATAGCAATAGCACTTAGACTTATATACTGCTTCATAGTGCTTTACAGCCCTCTCTAAGCAGTTTACAGAGTCAGCATATTGCCCCCAACAATTTGGGTCCTCATTTTACCGACCTTGGAAGGATGGAAGGCTGAGTCAACCTTGAGCCTGGTGAGATTCAATCTGCCAAACTGCTGACAGCCAGTGATCAGCAGAAGTAAGAATAAGAATAAGAAGAATAAGAATAATTTTATTTCTATACCGCCCTTCTCCCGAAGGACTCAGGGCGGTGTACAGCCTATTAAAAGCACAAGACAAACATCAATTAAAATAAAAATAGCTTGCAGTACTGCACTCTAACAACTGTGCCACCATGGCTCATCTAATTAATGTTTGATATTGTCTGTTTTAACATATTATACGGCAGAATTCCCCAAACTTTCTGGCTTTGAATACCGGTGGGAGGGGGAGAGGGGATGGTTCCACACAAGCAGCAGGTAAGTGCATGCGCGCATGCAGCTCCATTTCCACAAGCGGTAGGCACACGCTCCCACTGCTCGCGCAAGTGGGGATGCCTGCGCATGTACTGGCCTGTCACTTCCACACTGGTTCTGAACGGCTCAAGGCCCAGTAGTGGGCAGCAGCCCAAGGGTTGTTGTAAACCATGTCACTTGGTTGCAAGATGGGCAGCATATAAATTTAATAAATAAATACATAAATTAATAAATAACCCCCCACTTTATTGATATGGACTATAATAACAGAATCATGAAAGCTTGGCTGCATTTCTCCTTCTCTCCCTCTTATACCAAAGACAGCCAAGAAGGACTACCTTGAGTTTGTTTTTAAAGTTTTCTTATATTCCTGGACTGAGCTCATATTTTACTAATGTCTGTCTTGTATCTTCTCCAAGGTCATCTCTGTTCTCCTATCCAGCTGATCTCCAAACGTGATGGAAGTGAAACCATTTTTTTTTTCAGATTTAGTTGCCAGTTATGCTCTCTGTGTCTCTCTAGTTTTTGGCTATGGAAGGCTGGATATTTTTAAAAAAATGCAATCTTCATGTTACAACATGCTGTAATTGCATAATACCTAACTTCCTCAGTTGATGAGATTTGGCAATAAAGTCATAATGGTCAACACTGGTATCTTAACTGCCCTGGCATGTTATCTAAACTACTCTAGGATATGATCTTAACTACAACTTGGACTATTATAAAAGCTTTAAGCACACTCCCAGTTGTCAATTAACTGTACTATTCCTTTAACAGAAATAGTTTAGTGCAGGGCACTTTCTAACATTGCAGCAATAATGACCCAGCCTGCAGTGATAGCTGAATTGCAATAAATTATGTCTGATCAACAATATGAATACAAAAAAAAAAAAAAAATACTTTTAGCTGTGCATTACCAACGATGTCCTCGTTCAACCCTATCGACATCTCAAAAGTGTTATTAAAAAAATAAGATAATGTAATGTTGTAAAATTACCCTTAGCACCATATAAATGCATGATAAGTAGAGATGTGGACTGGCAAAGAAAGTGAATTCCACTGGAATTACAAAAGCTGCATGCTTTAATAAATTGGAGAAGGCTTATTCATGTGACTTTACAAAGTCAGTTCTAATTGTGTACGAGACAGGGTAAAGAAAAGTTTATGCCTTCCTATAGGCAGCTGTCAATTTGATTAAATTCAGAGGTGAAACCCATTTGTCTTTTTTTAACATTAAAAAAACATGTGTGCTCTCTGTAGAGAATTTAACCCTTTAAATGAGGAAGAGGAGCAGTGTTCCTTATATTAGGAAAGGGGATAATTGTTATATAGGTTGTTTTTCTATAATTTTGTCCACAATAAGTATTTTCATATCTTAGTGAGTGGGGTTGAAGTCTGGGTTGAAAAAAACAGAGAAATTGTGCCAAAATCATAACAAAGTCCCATTTATGGAAGTTCAATAAATGCCTGAGAAAATTTCAAAATATTTAAAAAATGATAAACACTTTTATTTATTTATTTTTTAAAAAATATTTCAGATCAGAGATGGTGTTGCCATGACTGGCCAAGAAAACTTTCAACTGCAGCCTCTTCAAATTAAGAAAGGTTTCCCAAATTCTCAGGCAGTGCGGTCTCTAAATGGTTCAAAGTATCCAGAAGGTACCAAATTGGGCAAGACTGAGAAAAAAAACTAAGATTAGTAAACTCAATGACTTCAGCAGACAGAAGTTGCACATACCTGGTGAATGCACAGTGCTTCTTCTTTGATTGAAGGGGTGCTCTCTTCATGAGAATTTGGGTACCTGAGACAAAACCCTTCCTCTGTAAAGCAAATGGGAATTTGGTTATACAGGTAGTCCTCGGCTTATAACAGTTCATTTAGTGACCAAATTTACATCACTAAAAATAGTGACTTATGACCATTTCCACACTTACGAACGTTGCAACATGGTTACAAGATCAAAATTCAGACAGTTGGCAACTGACTCACATTTATGATGATTGCAATGTCTGGGGATCATGTGATCCCCTTTTGTGACCTTCTCACAAGCAAAATCAATGGGTAAACCGGATTTACTTAATAACCATGTTACTAACTTAATAACTGATGTGATTGACTTAACAACTGTGGCAAGAAAGGTGATAAAATGAGACAAAGCTCACTTAACAAATGTCTTGCTTAGCAACATAAATTTTGAGCTCAATTGTGGTCATAAATTGAGGACTACCGGTATGAAAAAAAAAATCTGGAGAATAACATCACAAGTTGAAAGCCATGTGCTTGTTGGTTTGATTTATACCAGAGCAGGGGTGTCAAACTCATGGCGTCACATTGTCGTCACATGACATATTGCAACTTTTTCCCCCTTCGCTAAACCGGGGGTGGATGTGGCCAGCATGTGACACATCCAGCCCGCGGACTGCGAGTTTGACACCCCTATACCAGAAAATACTAAGCCATTACAAGATTCCCGTGAGTTTGTTGTTGTTTTGGGGTTTGTTTTTACTATTTCAGCTGAGTGAACTATATCCACAGACAGATTTCAGTGCACCTACATAGAGAGATACCTTTTTTCCTCCCTCTCAGTGAATCTAAAGTGTTGCAATTTGACTGGTAATCTCTGTGCCTTTTCTAGGATATGTGATTTAAAGCTTCCCTCTCCCAGCCTTCCTTCCTAGTATAACGTGTCCCTGCCTGGTGTGAAAGCCTTGTTGGAAGACTTTTAAGAAAGAAATGAACTGGCAAGACATAGAAACTTAAAGGAAGCTATAAATGGGATAGGTCAAGGACTAGGCATGTAAGCGAAAGGGGAAAATCTTCCCTTTCATTTATACAGCTCCAGTTTCCATGTCTGTGTAGACTCCAAATAAGGCATAGTAGCTTTTCCTAGTTGTGGGCCTGTACATTTTGCCTGACCTTATAATTCTCACAGTTCTAGACATTCCAAGGTAGAGAGCGGGTCATTGAGAGAGAGAGAGGGAGAGAGTTTGTAATTTCTGGTGCATATTTGCTTCTAAAGTATCTTCTGCATAGTTTCCCAGTGAGATCATGTACCAGGCTTGGAGATTTTTAAATAGGTTATTTTTCAAGCCTGCCTACAAAGGACCTGTCAAATTTAACCACTTTGGACTTACTAAGTAAAAGTGTGAGAACAAAAGTGGTAACAAGGCTTCTCAAAATTACTGTTGTTTATTGGCTTGTTGTTAAACCGGCAGCGGGCTGGATTACAGTGACCTGCAGTTTCACCGGAGTTGTTGTGAAATTTCATTAATATGGACATTATTTCTGATTAACACTTAGATTAACAAAGCTGAACAACTCGTTCTTCCCACGGGTTATTGTAAGGCCAACAGTATGGATTTTTGTTGACTGATATTTTGGATCACTGCAGGAAACATTCCACGCTGATAGAAAGATTCTGAGGCAGGGATGAAATCCAGCAGGTTCTGACAGGTTCTGGAGAACTGGTAGCAGAAATTTTGAGTAGTTCGGAGAACCAGCAAATACCACCTCTGGCTGGTCCCAGAGTGGGGTGGAAATGGAGATTTTGCAATGTCATTTCCCCAGGAGTGGGGAGGGAATGGGTATTTTGCAGTATCCTTTCCCTGCCGTGCCCACGAAGCCATGCTCACTAAGCCACACCATGCCCACCAAGCCATGCCCACAGAACCGGTAGTAAAAAAAATTTGAATTTCACCACTGATCTAAGAGCATATGGATCCCTGACTCAAGGGCAAGGATGCTCAGTTCAGTCAGTGAAAACAAGAGACAGCCCAGCAAAGCTCAGGGGAAAAGGTAGTTCTGGGTTAGTTCTCTAAATGATACATTGGAGTTTTTACAAAATTATCTATAACTTTTATGTTAGGGCAGATAAGGTAATCTTGCCATCTGGGGCTCCCTTACTCACTTTTTGAGACATATGAAGCCCCCACTTGGACTGCTAATGGAGAATTCCAGTAGCAAAGCATGAAACTATATTTTTAATTTTTTCAGCAAAAATGCCAACCATTATAACCCATTTTATTATTCTGAAAATACCAAAGCTTCCTGCCCAGTGGTGGGTTTCTACCAGTTTGCCCCAGTTTGGGCAAACCGGTAGTGGTGGTGGTGGGAGGCTCCACCCACCTGCCCGGACGTCATCACGGATGCTCTGCGCATGCAAAGGTAGCAAAGGTAAGTGGAACCCACTACTGCTCCCGCCCCAAAGCCTCACATATTTGGTGATAATGTTAAAATATGATCCTTGAAGCTCCTAGAGGCTGAAGAATTTCTTTTCTAAATGTATAACACAAACAATTTTCATCACTGCCTTTTGCCATGAGACCTAGAAACTTGTTTAATTAAAAACTAAATACCACTTGTTGAATCATCTACCACTGATCCTCACCTAAGTTGAAGATCAGTGTTTTCTGATTACTTGCCTCTATTCAAACATGTTTTTTTCAAATATAATATTTTTAAAGAATGCCCAATAATTTTAGCACTAGGTAATTTTCTAACTTAGAAAGAGCTATTATATAGGTTTAAGGTAAAAGACGGCATTTGTTAAAAGAATATTAGAAGAGGTTATTTAATGAGAACAAGGAAATGAGATTTCTCTTTAAAGTGATGGGGTTCAACAATCTCAAACATATACTGTAGTATACAATCAACCATATTTCAATAATCATTGGATAAATGTGTTTTATTTGGAAAAATCTGAAAAAACCCAGCTGAATGGGTTTTTCTATTCTCTTTTAGAATCACAGCTGTGAAATCCAAAATGTTTCTTAATGAAATGAATTGCTTTTAAGATGTTCCTTTACACATTGCCAGAAAAGATAACATAGTCCAAAAAAGAAGACAAAAATAAAAATAAAAATAAATCTATAGTTTTTTTTTTTTTTTACAGAATTGCAAATATATAAATAAAGAAGTAGGGGTCCAATATGGGCTGAAGCCTGAACCCAGCATAGAATAGAGTAAGCCATACTCCTTTCTTTCTTTCTTTCTTTCTTTCTTTCTTTCTTTCTTTCTTTCTTTCTTTCTTTCTTTCCTTCCTTCCTTCCTTCCTTCCTTCCTTCCTTCCTTCCTTTGTTCCTTCCTTCTTTCTTTCTTTCTTTCTTTCTTTCTTTCTTTCTTTCTTTCTTTCCAATTTCTTGTCATGGAAAGCTTGCAAGGACCTACTTTAAGCTGATCATTGCAATTTTCTTTCTTCTTTGTAAAAAAAGTTGCATACTTCCTATTTGTCCTCTTTGTCTGATTACATTCTCAGCAGGGAAACAATATTGTATGTTTTTCCAAATAGTAATGAAATGACATCAAAATGGCTTCACAGCACTGAACAGAAAACAAAGAACGTTCCTCTTAGTATTTATCATTATACAATGCAAACTGTCTGACTGCAAATTCACCACCACATTTTAAGTGACTGCTTGTCTGAACTGTAAATGAATGACCAGGTTCAAAAGACTAATAGCAGGATGGACGCCTCTAATTTTTATCTGTAGTTAGTCCTCAACTTACAAGCATTCATTTAGTGACAGTTCATAGTTAACATTGCCAATGAAAAAAAGTGACCTACAACCAATCCTCACCCTTATGACCATCCCAATATCCCAACAGTCACATAATCAAAATTCAAGCACTTGGCAACTGTCATGTACAATAAATACAAATGTTGCAGTGATTACCATTTGCGATTTTCCCAGCTGGCTTCTGACAAGCAAAGTCAATGGGAGAAGCCATTTGTTTATTGACAGTGTGTTTCGTTTAACAACTGTAGTGATTCACTTAAAATATGCAGCAAAAAAAAGGTCATAAAATCAGGCACAACTCATTTAACAACCCCTTTACTTAGCAGTGGAAATTCTGGTCCCAAATGTAAGTCGTATGTTGAGGATTACTTATCATTTCAAATCCTGCACAAGATTTCACTTCTCCTATGAAACCTGGAACAACATGGGGCTGCAAAGATCAAGGCATCATCACAGCAGCCACACCTGAATATGGGTGTGTACTAGTTTTTACCCAATCCTCCTCCATCTTTCATTTACCCATTCATTATCTACCAACTCTCTGTGTGTGTTTATGATGTAACATAATTGCAAATAATAGCTTTGCTTGTGTGTCTTTTTTCTCTCCTTTGACCTTGTCAGCGATATTTTTTTTCCCTAACCCATTTTGGTGCCACTTATAGGCGTGTATGTCTTAGTTTGGTATACTTTGCAGATAGTGTCATCAGAGAGATTAAGAAAAGGTAGGGCAGGGCTGGGTCTAAGTCAAATTGCAATTGCCAAGGATTAGTTGAAGCTTTCAGGATGCTGAAGAAATAATCAGGCATTGTCATGATCAATACTCTGCTTTTAGAACGCCTGATTCCTATGAACTTTGGCATGTTTCAGCTCCTGATTATCTTTTCTGAAAATGCCACTCCCTTTTGGCAAAAGAAAAAGAAAAGGTTATCAGCAGTTTGGGTGTTTGTTTATTTTTGCCTCCATGGGAAAGGGGGACCTGTTTCTCAACTGGGTTCCAGAATTGGAAAGACCCCCAACAGGCCTAGGAGAATATGAAATGAGCAGCGGCAACAGGGGTGGGTTCTACTTACCTTTACTATCGGTCCGCAATGGGACCGCGCATGCGCAGAAGTGTTTTGATGATGTCAGGGTCGGTGGGCGGAGCCTCCCGTTGGTTTTACTACCAGTTCTATAGAACCGGTGCGAACCAGGGGCAACCCACCACTGAGTGGCAAGAATTATTTATGCGCAAAATTGGCAGAATGAAAGCATATCTTCTGATGGAAAGGTGATAAGGAAAGTGCTAGAATGTGCGGAGATGGATA